TTGGCGCCCATACCGGATGAGGTATGGGGACGGCCCGTTTCACCCTCATACCGGACGGGGTATTGAGGTTTATGGTTTTGGCGCCCATACCGGACGGGGTATGGGGACGACCCGTTTCACCCTCATACCGGACGGGGTATTGAGGTTTATGGTTTTGGCGCCCATACCGGACGGGGTATGGGGACGGCCCTGGAATCCGATGACGAATGTTAAGGATTAACGGGTAGCGGGACCCCTATGGATCCCCATGGATACTAGTGGGCTGGTGAATTAGGAAAATATGTTGTGAAACTATTGAATTACGAAGAGTGTGATAGGTATTATGTTATACAGTTCATATATATATTTTCATGATGATGATGATGTTATTGCTTTCGTACATTGTTTTATGAATTTCACCGAGGTAAGTAAATGGTAAAGGTTTTATTTTCGATAAAAGGATTTGTTGTAAATTATGCTCCATTGGTCTTTTTGTGTTTTCTACCCACCTTTACCTCCGTGACTGTGAGATATCGTGATGTCTTTACTGGGCTAGTGTAGCTCATTCCTTATTTAATTATTTCAGATCAAGAGGACATCGTTCCCGAGCCGTTTCCGCAGGAGGACGACGAAAGGGGACGCCTAAGGACTCCATAGTCACATTCGTAGTTTTTACTTTCAAGTTTCTCCTTTAGGTAGTTTAATCTTTTATATTTTGTGAGTACGTTTTGGTTTTAGTGTAAGGGATGTTATTCAAATTTTGACTTCGCTTCCGCATTTGATATTTATAATACAAATTCCATTATGAATTACCGGGGCTGTTACATTAATTTTAAGTAAAAGTCAGTTATGTATTTAAAAAACTATATCGATATAAACTGGGTAGTTGAGATCTTACATTGAAAGTATTATTACGGAGCTTGTGAGGTTCCCATGTGGAATTTCAAAACGTGGAGCAAAAATTTAAGAAATATCTTTTTTTAGCTAACATTATTTGATGCTCAATTTTTTATGTTAGAAGTTCAACTTCTGCCACTTAGCACGAAGACCTAATATTGTAAAAGAGTCGGTTGAGTATTTAAATATTGACGTTCTATATTTCAAAAAGTTAAATCGATATGAATTTGGTAGTTGAGATCTTATGTTAAAAGTATTGTTATGTAGCTTGTGAGATTTCCATGTGGAATTTCAAAACATAGGGAAAAAATTTAAGAAATATCTTTTATTTTTTTAGTCAACATTATTTGATGCTCAATTTTTCACGTTAGAAGTTCAATTTCTAACATATTAGCAAAAAGACTTAATTTTGAGAAGAAGTCGGTTGAGTATTCAAATATTAAAGTTCTATATTTAAGAAAATTAAATCGATATGAATTGGGTAGCTGGGATCTTTTATTGAAAGTACTATTACGGAGCTTGTGAGGTTTCTATGTGAAATTTCAAAACGTGGGACAAACATTTAAGATATATCTTTTCTGTTTTAATTGAGATAATTTGATGCTCAAATTTTACTAACGAAAAGTAATTCTTTAGTAAAAGCAGAACCTCGGCAGACAATTTTGTTTGTGTAGAATGGCTTATAACAAAAGAAACGAATTTATTACCGAATGTGATGTATACTAACAAAAAATCATTTATACTAATAGTTTCCATGGAGATGTTTAGAAAGGATATTGAATTTGTTGAAGAAAAAGAACATTGTAAATGTTAGAGTGAGTTTGAAGATGAGGAGAAGTTTTACTATTTAGTGAATATTTACTATTTTTATGTTGGAGAGGGGGGTGGTTTGCTGGCTCATGGAATCATTTTTACTTTTTATGTTTTTAATTTTTACTTTTAAATATTTTTGTTATATAAAAAATAATTAAAAATTAAAATTTTACTAACAATATTAGTGGTACCTGACCGATATAGACTAGTATACATATTTTTTTAAATAAAAAGACAAAAGTGAAAAAAAATTAATAAGAAATGGATTCAAATATTTAAAAGTAGAATATGAACTAATTTAATATTTAAGTCAATATGATGATCATGAAAACTAAACTTAAACACAATTACTATTTTAGATAAAGTGAAATACTAAATATAGAAATTAAACTCAATTCAGTCTGGTTTTAATTAATTCTCAACACATATCATTGAGATTTTTGTTATTAATAATTTTATGACAATAATACAAAATAAATAAAACATATCTTTTTCTTGAGTCTGAATTCTATTTCGTTTTATCTTAAATAATAATAATAATAATAATTTATTAGATAGAGAACTAAATTATATAACGAAAAAGTCTTTAAGTTGAGAAGCTAAGTAGCAAGAATCTGATGGAGGAAATCTTGCACCACATTCCAAGCCATAACGATATGGTGAAACCTTGTGAGCGTTGCACCAACAGCAAAACGAATCATGTAGATTCCCTCAACCAACGCATGAGTCATGAATAACTTTCCTGATGCGTTAATGGATTCCAACAACTCACGAGTTAGCTCATTTGTACGATCTATAACACGATTGTTCTCATAATTTACATGTTTATCAGATAATGCAAATGGTGAAACCCTAAAGCAGACAACAGCAAAGTTTCTTGGGACGACAATCTCCAGTCTGGAATCACCAGCTACAAGCTTTTCAAATAGAATAGCCATCTTCACGTGACTTCTAATGATGTTCCGAAGGTTGGCTACACCATAAGTTCTAAGCACAAGCCATAGTTTCATAGCACGAAATCTTCTGCTCAATGTGATTTGCCAATCTTTATAATCTATAATATCCCTTGTATCACTAATTTTGTTTCTTAAATACTCAGGATATGTTGAGAGCGATTTAGTAAGAGCAGTTGGATCTTTAACCCACAAACAACAACAATCCAAAGGAGTTAACAACCATTTATGAGCATTAAGGCTAAAAGAGTTTGCACCTTCTATACCCTTAAGAAAAATTCTGAACTCTGGGCAGATACATGAGCTACCTGCATATGCAGCATCAATATGAACCCACATGCCATAATTTTTAGCAACTTGGCATAAAGGACCAATTGGGTCGATAGCAGTTGTCGAGGTTGTCCCTACAGTTGCACATAGAAAAAGAGGGACTAAACCAGCTGCTAAGTCGGATTCAATTGTGTGTTTCAACAATTTAGGGGATAGAGAAAAGGATGTAGTTTTTGTTGTTTTGATTGCTCGAACGTTATTGGGATCAATACAAGCAATTTTTGCTGCTTTTTGGAGTGCACTATGAGTTTGATCGGATCCATAAACCACTAACTTCCCCCCATTTTTTATCCCATTCTGAGTTAAATACTGATCTCTTGCAGCTACTAAGGTACACAAAATGGCCTCACATGTTGTCCCTTGTATCACACCTCCGCCATTACCAGAGAATAAGAAAGATTTTGGTAGCATAAGCATTTTTCCGAGCCAATCCATAACTATACTCTCAAGTTCAGTTGCAGCAGGTGATGACATCCAATTAAACCCTACAACATTAAACCCAAAGCTAAGCATTTCACCTAAAAACCCTGCTGTGCTACTGCTTGAAGGGAAATATGCAAAGTAATTAGGACTTTGCCAATGGGTTATCCCGGGAATTATGTGTTTTTGAATGTCAAGGATGATGGTTTCAATAAGTTCAGGTGCATCTGGAGCCGAGTCTGGTAAATGTTGTCGAAGATAACCTGGTTGAACTTGGCTAAGAACAGGATAACTTTCAATATTTTGGTAATAATCAGCAAGAAAGTCTATTATTTTGTGGCCTTGTTTCCTAAATTCCTCGGGGTCTAGAGGGTTCAAGAATTGGTTTTCATGATCGTGAAAACCTTGTATTGGTTCTTGGTTGAATTTCAAGCTACCCATATTTTGAATAATTGAAAACAAAGCTTCAATTTCTAGGAAAATGAATGGAACAACTTATTTGGAAAACTACATCGATATATAAGTTTATATACAACGAACTTTTAAGTTTCGAGCTATGGTTGAGTTGGTGGTTGTCATTACCTACTCAAGGATGTCGTGATAAATTTTAATTCAATTGACAAAACTTTTAAAACATATTTACAATGATATTTACAGTATCTCTTATGAGTATCGTATAAATAATATGTTATCTAATTGTATAACAATAAATAATAATAATTTAGTGAGTAATGATTAAAAGCATTGAATTTATCGAAGATTAAAAAATGTTATAAAATTTGTCTCATAAACCATTTTTTTAATTTAAATTAATATTTATTAATGAAAAGTCACAAAAATGTGAGATACTGTAACACCTGAATCCAAAAATTTGGCCCAAGATAATTTAATATTAATGAACCGATAAATAAAAATAATTTAATTTTTAATTTTTTGGTTAATTTTTGAAGAAATATAGATTCTGGATGAAATTGAAATTATTTTTAAAAAACATGGTGAAATTGTGAATAAAAGGGGGGTGTATTTGAAAGAAAAATAAAAAAACAGGGGGTCAAATAGTAAAAAGGCAAAATGCAGGCCCCATGGGACGGTTAGGTCAGCAGCAACAATGAGTCAGAATTCACTCTTATTTTATCTTAAATAATAATAATAATAATAATATATTAAATAGAGAACTAAATTATATAACGAAAAAGTCTTTAAGTTGAGAAACTAAGTAGCAAGAATCTTATGGAGGAAATCTTGCACCACATTCCAAGCCATAACAATATGGTGAAACCTTGTGAGTGTTGCACCAAAGAAGGCATTTTTGATATTCGCAGAAAAAATTCGAGAAACCCGATAACCATTCGAGGCACAATGAAAAAGAAGGTATTTGAACACCGATCCGGAGTAAGAATCTCTCACTCTTTTCTCTCGTTACGATAAATTAAAGTTTAATAACTGATAATTGTGTATTTTATAAAAATTAAAATATCTAAAATTAATTACAGGTCACCAGCAGAGTCGAAACCGATCAGTATATAATTGTCATAACATTGTTATTTATTTTCTCCTATACTACATAAAATGCTTACTGTTGCATCATATGCTGTAATTTATTGGTTTTAATTGGTTTCTCGTTATTAGTTTATCTACCCATTTGTCCCTATCTGTTGATTGATTTGCAAATTATCTATTACATGACTTAGTGTTGATATGTAAATATGAAATATTGGTATGGAATTGTGATTGGTTGATAATGTGGATATATATATGAAAGGCTCATTGGGCACCCTGGGAAAGGGTGTATTGACCTAGTGGATAGAAAAAATCCTAACGTGAATATTATCTTAGTCGAATATTGCTGAAAAGTCTCATATCGGAAGGGGTTTGGAAGTATAGATCACCCTCATACTGGACGTAGTATTGAGGCGGTGGCATGTTTGGCACCTATTAACGAATATGATATGGGAACGGTCGGTTAATTGATAAATTGGGTATTGGGTCCACGCATATGAGGTATCCCTATAGACCTCTAGAGGTAGTGGTAAGCGGGGAAGAAGGTAAGTTCACTGTCATGGTTCACTTAAATGTGTAATAAAATGTTATTCTGGTTATTGTTTTCATAGATCGATTTTAAAAACTTATAAGAGTAAGTATGAAAATAATGAATTTTTTATATTAAACAAATTTATTTAAAAAGATATAATAATTTCATTAGTTGTTTTATGATCTTTACCAACATTTAGTTTTTCGTATCAGTGTTAAGCGTGATATTCTTACTGGGTTAATGTAACTCATTCTCCTTATTTAACTATTTAAGATCAGGAAGATCAAGACTTAGATTCTGAGCAGCAAGAAGGTTGCGAATAAAAGCTGCCTCCCGCATTCCATCAGAGTTACCCAACGGAGGTTAACTCTATAGGAATTTTAGTTGTGTTATTTATTTATTTCTTTATTTTGTTATTGAAGACTTCCTTAAAGGAATATTCCTATATTCTTATTGGGCATTCTGAATTATTGTATAAAGAATGTAAATGGTAAACTCTTAATTGTTTCTGCTTATATTTTCCTTACTTTAATATTTCTATTCCCTTAAGTATTGGGTCTCTACATATACAAGCTTGGAAATTAGTCAAAAGATAATAATTAGGTAATCTATTAATATTCATGAGAATACATATATGCTTTATATTCATGTATCTATATATAGTTATAGTTATAGTGAATATGTAGTTGCATGGTACAATCTATTAATATTCATAATAAATTAATGTTTTGGTTTTTGTGTCTGCATATATAGCTACTTAAATTTTGGTTGTTTTCATCTTAAAAGTTCAAATTATGACATTTTAGCATAAAGATTTAATTTTGAATAAGAGTCAATTGAGTATCTAAATCTTATTATACCATGTTTTAAAAAATTAAATCGATATGAATTGGGTAGAAAATTTTATATTGAAAGTATTGATTTTAGAGATTGTGGAGTCCCTATTTAGAAGACAAAAGTTTAAGAAATATCTTTCCTCTTTATTAGTTGGCATCACTTGATGTTCATTTTTTAAAGTAAATTCTTACATTCATTAAATAAATAACTAATACAAATACATCAATCATAACACAGATAGAAATAATCTTTTAAGTAGTGATACTTATAGAAGTATAACCCGACTTAAATACCTGATATGTTGTAAAGAAATGGACGTACCAACTATTCAATTAACCAGTAGTTGATTATTTGATGCCTAAATTAATATTTTTAATATTGTGAAAGAAAATAAATGTTGTAAACAAGTGTTTTACAAATGTTCCTCATTTCTTATATGTTTTAGTTTTAATTTTTTTTTTTTTTTTGCGATTCTTCATTTTTTATGTGACATATAGTGAAAAATATACTTTCAGAAGTCTTACGTTTAGTGAAAAATTCATATTCTTAATAAAGGTATTGAGTCAGCAAAATTTTCATGAAACTTTACACGACACATGTTTTCTATTAATTTGTTATAATTATAAAAATTTTTGATTAGTTACTATTGGATTTAATATTAACTTGAAAGACCTTAGAGGAGTTGAAGCACTAATTTGTAAGGAAAAAAATTAAAAGGGAAATGTTACATTAATTGACTTCATGGACTAAATTTGGTATTTGTCCTAATTAAAATAATGTGTTCAATAACATAGTAGTTGTATAATACATTTTTAATCTACACTAGTTCGTCAAGTAATTAATAATAAAATAGACAAATATAATATTTAATTTCTAATAAGATTACTAGCTTCATTCTCTAAGATAGTGAGAACTTTCATAAATTAAAATTTTAATTTTTTTTATGAAGTCGTTCCACCATTCGCGTCAACTTGTTATGACATAACTGTTGAAGAAGAATACTACTTTCGATTTGAGAAAAATAAGTTAGAAAAAATAATTGAGTGTGTAATACCCAGCCCAAAAATTTAGTCCGAGATTAATTTTAAAATTAAAAAAAATATATATAAAAATATAATTTTTAAAATTTTAAATTTTTATTTAATATAAAATTAGGAAAAAAATAGTCGATAGATGAAATTGAAAATAATTTTGAGAAAAAGAAGTGAAATTTTGGGTTCGGGAGTATTTTTAAAAGAAAACTTAAAAATTAGGAGTCAAAACGCAAATAAGGAAAAATGCGCCACGTAGGACTATCCAGTCAGTAGCCTTGACGAATTGGAGCGTATCGCGTGGCAAAGTACACTGACTCGGTGCCACGCGAGAGGCTATGCTGGCAATCCGTGTGCCCGCGATCAGACGGCCCGGATGCATTCCCGCGCGCATGGACGGTCCAGATTCATTCCCTCATCGGGCATGACGAACGGCCACGATTAAATGCAATGAATGGTTCAAATTCGTTTTCTCTTTAAACACGATTGTACGGTCAAGATCAAATCGCAATGAACGATCAAGATTCATTTCTTCTTTAAACGTGATCGGGCGATCGAGATCAAACGCGACAAACGACTTAAATTTAAGGGAGACGGGTATAAATATCTCACTTCTATCTCACTTCACACCAAACTCAAAACATAGCAGCTAGCCCCCTATCAGAGAAGAAGAACCAGTTGTCGGAGAAGGGAGCCGACCGCTGCCACGCCGGAAAATTCCGTTGCCAGTAAGTTTTTATTTTTCGACTTTTTTGGGCCAACCGAGCCCCCTTAACGTGTTTTCTCGCAATGATGGGTATAAAACTGGTCAAAACTGGCAAAAAATGACCGAAAACAGTCAGTCCGAGGTAAACCACCATTGTGGGCGGCAGTGCCGTCGCCAGAGCATAGCGGTGCCATCGTGCCAGAATTCCCAAATTAGCCTAAAACAAATTTTAACACCGATTTTAGATTTTTGGGATATTTTTTAGGTACGTGAAGCGTGTTTTTACCTCCGCAGGAAAATTTAGGAAACTCAGGGACCACTAGTAGGCACAGTAGAAAGTTCAGTATTTCGAACACCGATTCAGGTAAGAATCCCTCACCTTATTCCCTGTTATGGAATTGAAGTCTAATTATCAATAATACGGTATTTTCGTAATTTAAAAAATTTTGAGAATTAATTATAAGTTACTAGTGGAGCCAAAACCTGTTATTTATTATTATTGTCATGTTTAATCGATTGTTTGATTTTACAGCTTTAAATGCATGATAATATACTGGAATTGGTAAAATAATTCAGTTGTATTTTCTTGATGCATGTATTATTTGTCTTGCATTGATTTACGATTAAATTATGAAACTGAAAATTAAATATAAACAAAAAATTGATTAGTTAAGTGAATGAATGAATGGTAACCTTACTGGATATTTTAAGAGATGATGGATGGATCGGGTACATAGGGAACCCTATCGTGAACATCGCCTCGTACCGGACGGGGTATCGAAGATTGATATTTTTGGCGCTCGTACCGGACGGGGTATCGAAGATTGATATTTTT